GTAAACAATGAGTCCTCAGGAAAAATATTGTTTTTATTGTAAAAAAGGGGTTGTTAATTATGTGTCATGTAACAGTTGCAAGGCCAGTTTTTACCACGACAGTTGCGCCAAAAAATCTAATGCAATGAGAAGTGGATAAGTTAAGTGCCCCAAGTGTTTGAAAAGTGAGGCTAAATCATCTTTGCTCACGCAGGTTGCCGCCGTTGAGGATGATTCCAGTGCTTCTTCTGTTAATTTTAGTGGGTCTAGGGACTCTTTCGATCAGCTCACAAAAACAATTATGGAACTTCAACATTCCGTTCAGTTTTTAAGTGAAAAATTCGATGAACTAACTCAAGAAAACAAAAGGGTTTTGGACGAGCTAAAAGTGGTGAAAAAAGGAGAATACAGTGCCTTAAAGCGAGCTAATTAAAATGGAAGAAAGAGTTTCATATCTTGAAATGAAAGAGGTAGGCTCGAACATAAAAATTCAAGGTACACAAGTGAAAGATGAGAACCCAAAGGACATTTTAAAAGAAATAAGTAATGATCTATTAAACTATAAACTGGAAGATCATGAAATTCTAGAATGCATCAGAAAAGAAACTAAGAAAGGGACAATTATTTCTGCGAAGCTTCTAAATATTGAAATAAAAAATGGCTTATTGGCCAGTAGGAAACATCGTAGCATTGATTCTAAAATGCTGAAATGCAATACCTCGAAACCAGAAAGTACTAGAGATAGAATTTATGTTAATGAAGAGCTGACCCAAAGAAACAGGTATTTATTTAGTTTAGCCTACAAAACCAAAAAAGAAAAAAGCTATAAATTCTGTTGGACTAAAAATGATAGAGTCTACCTAAGAAAAAGTGAGGACTCCTCAGTAGTTCTCGTTAACAATGAACATTCGCTAGAAAACCTTTAAAATGGCTGCATTTACCAAAGAAATAAAGCATTTTGCTAGTCTAAATCAACATATCAACAATCCAGGGTCTAAAACTCTAGAACAAAATTTTTCTATTTTATATTTAAATGCTCAATCCAATAGAAATAAGGTAAATGATATAGAAGCTTTGGTAAATAGTTTAAATCTTCCAGATGCTATTGTTATAACTGAAACCTGGCTTTCTCCAGACGAAGCAGTCCATTTTGGTTTTGATGGGTACAGATCAATTTATGTTAGTAGAGATAAAAGAGGTGGAGGCATTGGCATTCTACTTAACGAAAAATACAACTTCAAACAACTTGCAAAACATAACTCAAACTGTTCCATGATCTTTATTTTGGTGGAAGAATGTGATATTATTATAGGAATAATATATAGACCACCAAACTTTGATTACAATTTATTTTTGCAAATCTGTGATGAGAAATTGAATATTATTGCTAATAAAAAAAAGACAGCCTGGATATTTGGAGATTTTAACCTGAACATTTTAAATTCGAGCCCACAGCAGCAAATACTTCAGCTCACAATTGAGTCAAATGGATTTACCATAATCAATAATCATATACCATCAAGAGTAACCCAACATTCTAATACCTTGATTGATTATGCATTAACTAATAATAGTAATTATGACTTAAGTTTGTCTCTAATAGACAGTGCAATTTCAGACCACCGACTGCAATACTTGAGCATAAACTTAAAAAGAATTTACGCTAAATGCAACAGTTATACAGTAACCACTTTAAATGAAGAAGCTTTTAAGGCAAATTTAGCTGAAATTGAAACCTTAAACTGGTCTAATCCTAATTTATTAAGTGATCAAATAATACGTTCCTACAATAACAATTTGCATAATAGACACTATAGAAATAGATTTCGTTCTAAAAGTGCTCCTTGGTATAGTGAAAAAATCGCGATTGGCTCTGTTACCACAAACTTAGTTTAAATGTGAAAAAATCAAGCTATATGGTAATATCAAAGTTTGACTCCTGGCCTGACTTCACAATAAACTTCCAGGGTCTCCCATTGACTCGTGCACCCATTGTCAGTTCTCCAAAATCGTGCTATAAAAAAATTGTTTAGGCTGCCATTTCTGTTTCCAAAAAAAGACTTATATTATCCGAATGGCATCCTGGACGTTCACTCTCTGTATATCTTGCAATCGTGCATCTTTATCCATTCTTGCAAGACTTCCAATAATCACTCTACAATAAGTCTCATCCCAGCCAACACAGTCCATCACCACAATACCAGACTCAATGAAAACTCAAGAACGTCGGCAATGAACACTACAACTGGCCAACGCAGCATCTTATCAGAAGGACTAAGGTACTACAATCGAATTCCACAACCTGTTAAAAGATTGAACATAACTTGCTTCAAGTGTAAGCTGAGGCAGCTGATCTTCGATGGATACTTTGGGACTGTACAATATAATACTTTATCTTCAATTTAGAACTAAGATATTCATAAATGCAACAACTTTGTGATACAGTACCTACTTGTACTGAATATTTTCTCTTGTGTGATATTGTATAATGTATAAAATAATACGGTATATTGTAATAATGTTATATGTGATACTGAATGACCCGTATAGCTTTCCAGCTCAGGGTCTCTAGTTTAGGTTCATACATATATTGTTTAACTACCATGTTGAAATAAAGGAAAAAAAATAAAAATTATTGATAAATGTTTTCAAACACAAATCTTCGAATTGTTGAATTTTTAATAATTTCACATTGACAGGATCATTGGAATTGTTAATTTGGGTCTAGAACACATTAGGTCCCTAAAAACGGACAATTTTTCTATGTTCAAATTTGCATTGGAGCAATTATTAAGACATAATGAAGAAAAAAAAATATGGATGAGTTCATTTTTTTGATAAACAATATATTATTTAAATATACAGGGTGTCCTAAAAAGATACCAACAAACTTTAAAGGGTAGAAAGGGACATCAAAACAAAAAACAAGCATTTTTGTTTATATAAACATATGTCCGCAAATGAGCCATTTGGGCTGTAGAGCGAAAAAATTGTTTGGTACTTTTATTCTTTGCAATAATTAAATCACTGTTTACTTATTAATTTTGCTTATTTATTAACAAATAAATTATGGTTTACAATAATTATACAAAATGTTGACCATTTACTTCAATGCATAGATTGCACCGTCAGGTCATTAATAGACAACTACTAAGTTAATGAAGGAAACTAATCACAAATTGGTAGGAATTTTCAGAATGTCAGTAAAAAACCAGTAAAAAATCAATAAAATCAGTAAAAAACCTCAAAAAACCCTTTCCATAAACATCAAATATTGTAAATATTTACCAAGGTGGTATGCTGATTTTGACATAAAATAGAAATCTATTAAAGTAAACAAAATAAATGAACAAAATAATATTAATTGTAAAAAATCACTAGTCACTAATGCCTTATATCCTCTCGCTTCTCAACCTTTGACACAGATCAATAAATAATATCTATTCTTATCAGCTTAATATCGTTATACCTATCAAAGATGCACAATCAACAAAGAAAAAAATTAAATTAAAAAAATCATAACTTGATAAATATTCAAGGATCCATATTTTTTTTCTCGCTAACCATCTTGAAATTGCTTTGTTTTTCAGTAATAATCAAAATCATATTGAAAATCAAAGGGACCTAAAGTGATCTATCACCGTTAATTTTTGAAAATAACAGACTTCTAGCGTCTTGTAATTTCAAACCAAAATTGTGTGGAGATTCATTTTTGTCTAATTTCATAGTTAATATGTCTTGCATAAGACAATCTTCAGATCTTTGATCGGAAAATGTGATAATTAAAGAATCTTTTATTTTTTGCATTGTCGTTACCTTAGAGTTACACTGTAGTATGTGCAGTAAAACAAGTTTTGAGAAAAAGCAAAATGAAAAAATGACACTTTGTTACAGAATTATGGATGAGCCTACATTTACGAAATACTGTAATTTAGTTAGTTTTCTAACATATATTACGGTTTTAAATGAAAAATCTGAAAAATAATTTTTTTTGTACATTTTTAAGCAAAAAAAAAAAAAAAATACATACAATTTTGTGATTCCAGTTTATTATAAATTTTAAAAAAACATACAATTTGGTAACATTATAAAAATTTTGGTAACGTTATAAAAAATAAAATATCCTTCTAAACAATAGTATAAACTTGAAAAAGTAAGTTGAAAGGTTAGGTTTTACTATTTTTAGGAAGTATAGCCACATAGTATGCCTTATCCACCTCAGGCATCCACTTAAACATGCTTTTGATAGCCTCTACTTTATTTTGAGTGATTTCGTAAGGGATATACGAACTGGTCCTTTTATTTCTTTTTTGGCAGCATTGGTTCTGGTAGGGCGATAATCACGAATGGACACTTTTTTCCACTCATTACTGTCGTGGCTAACTTTGTATTCTATCTCAAACAGGGAGTTTGAAAATTTTAGGGCAGCTACTTGACTAAAGGGTACAACTTTATAGTTGAGTTGAATAGAATAAGACTTGTAATCCATGAAATCATCTTCCCTTAGTTGAATTATTTTGTAGGGGATTCTTGAAGAAACCTTTAAAAGTAGCCGTATAAGCAATAATGGGGAATAATATTCTGATTTTTTTAGAACCCGTTCTATGCAACTGTGAACTGCGTCGATTTCTTGATTGCAGGAATGGCCCGGAGTGGAAAACTTCATTATTATGGATTCAATGTTTGGATTCCTTCTCATAAAGAGTGAAATGGCTGAAGACATTAGTGAATTTCTATTTTGTGGCACGCAGCTATCACTCCATAGTATTAAAGATGTTAAATCAGGATTGTCTCTGAAAACAGCTTCTAAAATTTTCAGTAAGGCACTTGCAATATCGTTCCCACTTCTGCCCATAAGACTCTCATTCCACAGGGCACAGTATACTTGTTTTCTACTGGATAATATTGCAGTTAAGTTGTAAACATTCAGTTTGCTTTTGTAGTAAAAATTGCTGACTTCCGCATGGGGACAGCTTAAGACATTTTGTAAATCGAAGACCAAAAAATTCTTGAGATTTTCTCTATCTTTTTTTTTTCTCCAAACGACATGCTTCTTTTTCCCCAAGGTGTCTGTCGAATACGGTTTTCTGTTCAGCCTCCAATAATTGGTCTTCCTGTAGTTTCATTTTCATTTCCTCACACAGATCGCAACGGTCCTTTTTGGGGACATGAAAATGTAAATTAAATTCACTGCAAAATATATTCCTGTAAAAAGATTCTTTTACTGCTGTTTTGTTGGAAGCAGTGCAAAGTTTAATGTACAGGGAATACATTTTTTTAATATTCAAAGATGGATCCAAGTATTTTCGCTGCGTATTTGCCCTGCAGTAATGCGATTCTAATGTTGGGAAGAAATCTATGTGCATTTTTACAAAATTAACGTCATTTTCTGATATCTTATATTTAATATGTTTTCCTTGGGTTGGTGTCTTAGGAATATTGGAACAAATATCCTTCTTTGAATGAGCTGTGTATACCGGTGTTTGGCTAATGGCTAACGTGCCCAAGTAGAACATCTTACAAACTTGAATGTTCTGACTCCCTAACTGAAAATGGTAGGTAAACGTCTGCTTTCTTCGACTATTATCAGCATTTTTATTTTTTCGACGTCGTTCAGCACTGAATTGTTTTGAAGTTGCTAGAAGAAATAATCTTTTCCCATGTTCATTTAAGGTATAATAATGCTCAAAAATATGGTTTCTTTCTTCTTCAGTAATAAGCTGTTGGCATTTATACATACATTTCAATTTGCAGTCTTTTACTGTTTTTATCCTTTCAGCTGAAACTACTTTTTTTCCTACAGAGACATATTCTTTACCTGAGTCATGCGCAGCTTTCCTGACATTACTTTTCCAGGTACTGGTATTCCTTTGTCTTTTGCGTTTAAGCTTTTTCGGTGAGTCGGATTGAGTCGGTTCGGCAGGCTCAGTCTCATTTATAATGTCTCCGTCAGCACAAACAATACGTGGATGGTCACAGTTCAAATAAGAGTCGTCTGAGTCTTCGCTTATTTCTAGTTCTTTTATCATCACCAAAATTCGTCACATTAGCTCTTTTTTTAGATCTAAAACAATTCAATCTATTGGAAAAATCTCAAAAATGCAAAACTGTGTTCTCGGTTAGAGTATCGATGACACGCAAGAGCACCTTTTACATAGTCTCTAGTATTTACTCATTCATTTCGTCAAACAGAACTTGTTAAGTAATTGATTTTGTAAAATCAATAAAGAAATGAATCAATTTGTCAACTCTAGCCGATTACACAGTGTGTACCTGGGTACCTACATATTGTTTGCCCAGCGGATCTGAGTCTACGGAAGGAATTCGGACGTAAATGTGCCATGTTGCCACGTTTAATTATAAAAAAGCGAAAATACTAGGCATAAAGTATAGTTAATTTGAAAATTCATTTTTTGATAACAAAATATTGATAACAATAATAAAACGCTAAATATTTTAATTGTTAGACCTATCCTTATTTTAATCCTGATTTCTTCAGTTTGGTCTATTGTAAAAAATAAACATTTTCTAAAGATACCATCAGCTTTTGACAATTTGGCAAGCATCCGTCCTGGATGAACCTGATTGGTGGAGTTTTTGACAGGATCACCGTTGTCATGGGGAACCATACGGTTGTCAATGAGCTAACGTCACCTTACGTCTCGCTATTGGCCAGGGCTCACGTCATTTTATCCTCCCATCTTGGAATATCAATTTATGTTGACATATCCAGTGGCGGAGATTTGGTCATTGCTGATTTTCGTGTACGAGTTGCAATACGATAACACTTCCAAAAAGTTCCGCACGCAGCTGGGTATTTTATGAATGAAATCAGCCATTTTTTTTTACAACTGCATTCCCCTTACCGTTGCCCCGTAGACACAGACTCGCTGGGCAGACATTACCTAGTAATAATTTAATAACAAAAACAAAACTTACCTCAAATCTGCTAGACTTTCATTAGAACCACTAAAATCGTCTAATTCAATGTCCATGATGAAGAAAAGAGTACCCAAAAATTCATAATAATAACTGAATTTGCAAGGGCAATTTAAAAAAAAACTAACCTCACTTTTATATTTTCCCTAATTAAAATGAATTTATTAGTGGTATCAATTCCATAGCAAACCAAGTATATTGTCTGTCAATATTATATAAAGTCAACCAATAAAACTTTTTTAATTTCGCTTGTTACACTACTCGTTTCTAAACTACGAAATTTATCGCACTCATTCAACTGAATGCAGAACAAAGTTGTATGTGCATGATTTTTAAACATTTAAGCAGAGAATATTACAAAAGTGTATGTTACAGCATACAACTATGTAATTTTAAAGTTCGCGTGTTCGAAAATCACAATGTTGTATGTTATACATACAACTGTGAGACCCTAAAAATCGCATTTCATAGTCATACAACAATGTAATTCTGGCTGCCTACCACCTATGATGCAACATACAACTTTGTAATTCTGTGAAAGGAAAGGTTAAAGCTCATACAACTTTGTGCTCCCCAAAAGTCAATTTCGGAAAAAATGCGACATACAACAGTGTAACTCTGAGGTAACGATGTATCAAGCTCTGTTCGAGATGCAATTAAATCTGCAGCTCTACCTGTTAATTTTCCAATGACCGTATCAAATAAACAGATATTTATTGGATCAGCTGGATTTTGCCTATTTTGATGATTTTGAAGGAAATGTTCACATGATGTGATAAATCTACTTAAGGTTCTAGTATTTCCATCAAAATGTGGAATATTGTCAGCTTGATATTTGATTAAATGATAGTTTGGATTAGCCAATGATTTGTTCTTCGAATAAATTATTTATAACTAAGTTTTCAAGAAAACCTGCTTAGTCTTCTATTTCGTTATCACAACCAGTTTTTTGGGAAAATGATAAAACAAATGTTTACACTTTAATAAAAGGAAATAAAATGAATAAACTCAATTTTATGAGGAAAATATGAAAAAATTGGATTACTTACAGTAATAATATCAAATACGCTTTGATAGACATAAACTTGGTTTAACTTAGCTGCTTATGGACTTTGGACGATGCTTGTTCAGTGTTGCCACAGGTGGCCCCATATGGCCAGATCTGGCCCTTTCTAAGATGGAGTGGCCCGTTGGCCACTCTATTCCGAATCTGGCCCGTTTCTCCATAACAAGCCAAATCATTATTTTTTCATGCAAAATAAGCGTTTTTGGGCGTGGCACCCGAGAAAAATTTCTCCGGCGGCGCCTAGGACGGGCTTTCTCTTTTCTTTTTCATTTGTGGAGGGCTTGCCCGAAAATCTTAAATCTGGCCACTTTTAAATTTATAGTCTGGCACGAAATTTTCAGAGCCTGTGGCAACACTGTGCTTGTTCCTCTATCCGTACCAATAGGGCTGATGGACGATGCTTGTTCCTGTCCCTTGGTCAACTTATCTATAGACTTCGGACGATGCTTGTTCCTCTGTCTGTGCCTCAGATTGTCGGACGATTTTTGTTCCTTAATCCACGGCCCGTGAGCTCATTCGCACGTTATAAGAGTTTTTTCAGGTTTTTCACGAACGATTTTCGTTAGACAGTTAATCGTTAACACGAAAAGTAACTTTTGGTTTTTTGACGACCCGCAAAACCCAAATTTTCGGCTAAACCGGGACGCACTTTCGAAAACGCACTTTGACTCTGCCTTATGCTACCGACTGCGCCAGTTATGTGACTGATAAACAGTAAACGCTTTTTAAAAAACTTTATTTTCTTAAGAACGGTACAAATGAACTAACTCGATTCTAATCCTAGATTCCTTTATATAATATTATTATGCTGATATAAGCAATGGCATAATGCGGGGGTTTAGTGGAACATAACTACATCAACCAAATTTAGCATTTCATTTAGGTACACAAATTTCTTCTACTGTATACATATTCTACAGCTTTTAAAAAAAAATAGATAAAAATGAGAACTTTAATTTATGTACAATATTTTTTCCATCGATAGGAATTTCTTTTTCAGATTTCTCAAAATAATTTTGCAACAAAACATAATTCTTAACTAATACACCTATTAAGGATATCAGTACAACAATGTATTCTACAAAATATTTCAAAAATCAATGAGCTATAAGCTAACAAAATACACACATAAACTAAACTTTCATAGTAGTTTCATTATCTAATATTTTGACGTTGTATAAGAACTATTTTGAACATTATTATGTGATATTTGAAGAAACAAGCTGATTAAGAAGATTTTTTAGTTGCTCTAACAAACCAACGTTTGGACATGAAATCCCAAAAAAGTTTAAATTAATTTTAGCTACATTTTTTAAACTATTTGTATTTTCATCATATTCATAATAGTAATTGTTTGAAACAAAATATAACAAACCATTGGTGTATCTAAAAACTGTATCTATTTTACTCGGCACCCCTAAAAATTTCTCTGAAATTATTGCATTATTTTTTAATGAAAAATCGCACTCATTTATCTCAACATAAACACCATTCTTCAAAAACCAGTAAGTTTTACCTTAGTCTGAGTTGACGGCCCCTCTGACACTTTGTTTCTACACTAAATATCTTCCACTTTGTATTGAATGGTGGATTTGACGTTACCAAAATGGAATAAATACAAAATATTTTCTGAAAATAGCAATATTTCGTCAGATGGTCTCTGATATATTGCATGGATCTTTCTAAACTTTAGTCAATTTGTCAACAATAATGGTGTGTTTTCAATTTTTTTAGTGCTCAAATTTAAATACCATACATATTTTTCATAAAAAATGAATAGTTTGTTCTTTACTATTAGAAACGCATCGATTGTTTTGAAATTTAGCTCGCATGAAGTGATATTAATAGGGGTGTCGTTTCTCGAATTTTTATCTGGAATTGTTATTTTAGGATTTGCTGTAGATACTAGCACTGCTACGTTCCTCGTCTCGGGTATTGTAGTGTATGGGGAAGTCGTGATGGTGGTTTAGCCTTTGTTGATACTATTGTAGATAATAATCCTCCATTGATAATTTGAGGCTTAGGTCCATACAACTGCTCAACTGTTTTTACATCTTCTAACGATAGAACTGCGTCCATTTCAAAACTCATCCGGGATGGATACATTATAGAATTAGTAAAATCCGAATGGGGGATCCCCAGACTATGTCCTATTTCATGAATTAATAATTTTTTACACAAATTTCTACTGAATGTGTATTGAACACCAGTTTGTATATGAATTTCTACAGGATCCTGATAAAAATTGGGAAAATAAGAATGTGCTAGACAGAAATACAAAACAAACAAAAAATCAGCATGAATACTAGATAAATTTAAATTTAACTAGTTCACGTTGCCCAAATCCCTTCTTAGTGTAGATTACCTTTGGTTTGGCAGGGGTTTGTTGTTAAAAAGTAAAAATGTGGAAGAGGAAGCCGATGATGATGAAAATGTAAATAGTTGCATTAATTCGCTTCAAGGCTTAGTTCACGATGGGTATATATTGTAGCAAGTGTAATTAAGAGTATTTAGTGTGAAAATGATTCCCCTACCGGCAGGAGTTCTATTCCTCTCTGCAATAATCAATAATACTTTGTTTATAACAGTTGAACCAACTATTCGAGAAACTTTTATATGTTTATCAGCTAACGATACAAAAAATTGACACATGGCCTTCAACATGGAAAAGAATGGATTATATGAAAAAGGGATTCTACTCCTACAAACTTGGAGATAATATTAAGAATTCTTCTAATGTGCATTACAAATAACGATTTTATTACGTAGACCGAGATTATAAAGAAACAGAGTGGAATGTATTGTATACCAAACCATATAATGTCATTATGCTACTGTAATCAACACAGCTCTATTATTAGTTTTGTGTATTTTAATGATGTTTTATTTATTTTATTATGCATATTTAAATTTATATTAGTATGAAAATAAAACAATGTATTTTAAAAAAGTGTTTTATTTATTCCTTTACAATAATACTTTTTTCGAAACCCAAGATGCTTGAGATGGAAACTAAAGGAATAA